AACTATATGATGATTTGTGCTTGAGTACATATTTATTCCTGACTTTTTATTTTGTTCCTAACCAATTCATTCATTTCATTTGTATTTACTTAAAACGCTTCATTTACAACTTTTTCCTGAGGATGATAATCTGGAACTCATCTAAGCCTTATATTACTTGACGTGTACGCTTGCACGATTTTGGGAGATTTGCTCCTCAAATATAACATCTTCTCCTCATGTTTTTTTATCCTACATTGCCTCGAGCAATTCTTGGCCCAACATCGGTCATTGACTCAGTTGAAGTATCAGGTTAATGGGTCACTAGTTTAACCGCTTAAATTATATTTAGCTAAAAATATATAATAAATATATAAATAGAAGTAATATGATAACTAAAGTAATTTAGCTTAGTGGTTGGCATGTCACTTCCTTTAATGAGCCTTCGTTGAATGTAGTAACCATTTTATGCTTAAAATTACTGATTATTATTTACCGTGGAGACTTTTTTATTATTTTCTTGTTCTCGAACACTCCTACAAGTTATGAAATAATGCAAATTACGAAGCTACCTTATTTTTTGTGGAAAAATAATTCATACATTATAACAAGCTTATACATGTAGCTTTTTCATTTCATAAAAAATTATTCATTTTAAAAGTTTTTTTTATATATGCATATATTGGTCATGATTATTTTATACATGTATAAGTGACATTTTCAATCTTAGACCTTACATTTATTTGACGAATCTAATATTTTAGTTATGTGTATAACACCCCTCAATTATCAACCAAGAAACGTTACTTACATACTTTGAATTTTAATTCCACTCTTATATTATAAAGAAGACTTGGAATATAAGTATTACATAAATCTACTTTCTTCCGAAATATCAAAATACAAACCACTAAACCAACATATAGTATTAAGTCACCTTTGCAAATAAAAATTCCACAACCAAAATATAGTTATGGTCCAATACTTAATTTCACAGCTGAATAAAAACACAGAGTTTATTAGATAATATTTTTGCCTTTAACATATAGAGCATCTATTATAGACTTTGTTCTTCACAGCTGAAAACACATAAATAATGAGATATTTATGTTAGTGAAGATAACAATTAAAAAAGTTTTCGCAAAAGTGTAGTGTTTTCAGGTATAATTTAGTATAAAAAAATCCTTTATGGTTTTAATTGAAAATGATAATGTTAAGAGTGTTAGTGTTAATAGTATAGAAGTCCCACATTGAGTGTGTCTCTTTGTATTCTTCAATTGGTTTGCTATATAATAGCACCAATGTTGTGTAGTTTAAAAAAAATAAGGATTACTATCATTTCCTCTTGTATCTATAATATTTAACATGGTATCTAGAGCCTAACAAGAGGAATCTTAATCCGTTTAACTTAGTTCTATTTTCCATAATTTCAATATGGTTATAGAGAGATATCACCCTCCTTGAAGGATTCCCGTTGCTATTTCTTTTTCGGGTTTTTCTTAGTATGCTCTGTGACTGCAGCTTAGACTGATCTGTCACATCAAAAAAGAATGATCATTGGGAAGTTGTTGGGTTGACCACCATTGTCGTTGACCGACCACCGTTGACTGCGTCGTCCACCGTTCACAGCCATCTCCGACGACTTTTCTGGTGACTTTTCCGATGACTTTCCGGCGACTTTTTCGGCGATCCACCACCGTCTCCGATGACTTTTCCGACGACCCACCGCCGTCTCCGGCGACTTTTCCGATTCTGCGAAGCTTTGTTTTTCTTTAATCTTCTTTCTTCCGAAGATGGAGTATTTATACTATTCATCATCCATCTTGAGGGGGAGCACTGTCCAAGTTGCTGATGTTGTCTCCGCTGATGTTAATTCCGACACCGAAGTTCCTCTTGAGGGGGAGCACTGTCCATGTTGCTGATGGTCATTCCAGCACAATTGTCTTTGCCGATGATAATTCCGGCACTGTTTAGAAGTTCCTCTTGAGGGGGAGCACTGTCCATGTTGCTGATGGTCATTCCAGCACAATTGTCTTTGCCGATGATAATTCTGGCACAGTTTAGAAGTTCCTCTTGAGGGGAGCACTGTCCATGTTGCTGATGGTCATTTCAGCACAATTGTCTTTGCTGATGATAATTCTGGCACTGTTTAGAAGTTCCTCTTGAGGGGGAGCACCGTCCATGTTGCTGATGGTCATTCCAGCACAATTGTCTTTCCCGATGATCATTCCGGCATCTTCCATGGGAGTATTATTTATGTATCAAGCTTGTAGCATATGATTTATATGCTACAGCTTGAGGGGGAGTGTTAAGAGTGTTAGTGTTAATAGTGTAGAAGTCCCGCATTGAGTGTGTCTCTTTGTATTCTTCAATTGGTTTGCTATATAATAGCACCAATGTTGTGTAGTTTAAAAAAAATAAGGATTACTATCATTTCCTCTTGTATCTATAATATTTAACAGATAACATACTAATATTGTAAAATAATTTAACATCACAAATATATATAACATTCTATGTTAAGATGTTTTCATAAGCATTGATTTTTGTATCTATCAAAGCCGTGTATTTTGCGCGATTGCCTCCCGCCTCATTTGTTATTTGACTCAAAAAATACAATTTTTCAACCATGCACGTATTTAGATTATCTTTTACGAGGAATTCTATGAACTTTTTAAGCAGACAAACACGTGAATACCTCTAAAAGGATCTTGTAATCTTTCAAAAAAATATTATAATTTTTAACATATCATTGAAAGACATGCAAAAATTTAAATCAACAATTAAATATAGGGAAACTTCAAAAACCCCTGTAAGTTTCTTCAGAATCACTTACCCCATCTCCGTAATTTTTCATCATTTACGCCCTATTTAAAATTGCTTTATCATTTATCTCCAACTTGATTTTTCATCCAAAATTACAGTTAACAGTGTTAATTTTCTTATAAAATACCAAAATTATCCTTTACAGAAAAACAGGTTGTGGGTATTTGTTAAACCCTTTATTCGATTATGGAATATAGCATCATTTGCAAATAGTTGTAACATTTATGTTTCATCATCTGTCTAAACATCTTGAGTGCACTATTTAACTCATGCGGCTTCACATATCCATCTATAACTGTGGAATAAGTGTACTCATCTGGAGCATGATACACATTTTTCATCTTATAGCATCTGTCATATATCCGATGCCATGCTCATAGTTTCTTCATAGCCCAAAATCTCCCTTATGCCAAAAAAATATGTTTACAAAAAAGCTGGACAACAACAACAAACTTTAAAAAATCTCCTTTTAAAGCATATTAATCTCAAAAAAAAATTTGGAAGACAACAAGCTTCGAATCAATGAATCTTTATCAAATGCTAAGGGGGCATCAATATGTTTTCCTCTTCTTGTAGAGCCATCTATCAATACAAGATACCATTAAATTAAGAACACATAAATAACAATTTGAAATAAAATAGGAAAAAGTCATTACCTTTTACCTCTTCGTAGAAGGTTGAGATATTTGTTGTGATTGCTCATTTTGAATTCGAGTTATTTTTTGGTATACTAGAGCTGTCAACACACAAACACCCACAACATGTTTTTTTTTAAAGGATAATTTTGGTATTTTATAAAAAATTAATATTATTAACTATAATTTTGGATGAAAAATCAAGTTAGGAGGGTAAATGATAAAACAACTTTAAGTAGGGGGTAAATGATTAAATTTTTTGGGGAGGAAGGTAAATAATTAGGAGGAAACTTATAGGTTTTTTGTTGTTGAAATTTTCCCTTAAATATGTGTACCGTATTTATCATATATAATGGTGTAAATAAGCCAGCCTATCTATTAAGAGCCTACAACTTGACATGTTTTTGGTTTGACCCATTTTTTAAACAATACATGCTTTTTCTTATTAAAAAGCCTCCTTAGAAATCATATCTATTTTAAAAGGATTGACCTCCAAGGCAGATTTGTATTTTTATAATAGAATAATATTTTATTGTTTTTTTTCTTTTCTAATTCGTCCTATAAATTTGGTTTCCATAATAAGTTACTATTATTAGCAACCTATGAACACACTCGATTCTTTATTATTTTTTTTCCTTTCTAATATTTTATTTATGTGGTTGTATTATTATATATGTATGAGAAATTATGTGGCTACAATATTTTTCTTTTTTTGAATTGGATTATGTAACATATGAGTGAGTGAGTTTTATTTTAAAATTTAATTAAGCCTTTTACATCTTCACGAGTGTAATATACACTCTTAATCTTGATCATTAATTATATTTATATCTAACGGCTCTGGTTTATTAAATATATGAGCAATTAGATACAATTAGATATAAACATATCTGTTTATAAAAAAAAAAGATATAAACATATCAATATAGTTAAGATTGAGTATAAAACTTCTTATTCTTACTATACTAACATATATTCAAACCAATGTTATTAAAACCGGCCTAATCATTGACCCGGTCAAGGTACTAAGTCACTGGTTCAACCGCATGATTCGATAATTATATCTAAATTTATAATTTATATTAAAAAATTATAAATATACTCAAATAGCTAAAAAAATAATATGTTTTAAATATTTTAATATAAAAATTAATAAATTACACATTATTGTCAAATAAAGGATCAAATAAATATATAATGTTTGTGATACATATGTTTCAGGTTCAGTAAATGATATATCTGATTATAAATCAAATAAAAAATCTCTGCATAGTTCGTAATTGAGATAATATTAGTATTATAGTATTAAAAATGATTAAAACTTTTATACTTTTGTTACCAAAAACAATTAAAACTTTTATAATTTAATTTAATTAAATTCAGTGCCATTACATTGTCTAGTCTACGGCACCGCCACCGGTGTAGTGTTGCTTTTTTCAAGTTACAAATTATGAGAGATAGAGACAGAAAACATAACTTTACTGAAAGCGAAAGACACGCACCCACGTTAGAGCATTAGCATTTCATAGTACCCGCAAAGGTATTGTTCGATGAGACTCATCTTATTCTTAATGTTTTCTTTTTCTTTTTCTTTTTCTTTTTTTGAATAATTTTTGTATGGGGGCGTTGAGTTCTGTTTTGTGGTGTGATTACTTATGAAATTGTTGTCATGGTCTTGATACTTTACCTTGAATTTCTTGTGGGGTTGATAGTGTTCTATGAATGCTGTAGCTGATGCTGGACTTGGATAAATCTGGCTTTTCGTTTTGTTTGGATGAATCATTGATTTTCTGGACTTTTCTTGTTGGTTTTGATCAAGTTTTTTTTTTTTTTCCTTCCTTTACTTCTTGTTTTGATTGAACTGGTCCTAGTCAAAGTGTTTACTTGGTTGAAGTTAATCTTTTTTTCTCTCAATTTTTACTGTTATAAATCGAGGGATTCAGACATGAATGGATTCTATATTGTATTTAAGTTTGATGTTCAATTTATATCTATGCTTTTTTTCAATCAGTGTGGCGGTTCGGTTGGTGCCATGAACTTTGAAAGGGATTAGTTTTCAATATATACCACTTGATTTTTTTTTTGTCATATTAAAATTTTGGTTAAATTCTTATTCCTAATCGAATTTCCGTTTTGTCTAGTGATGAAATAAATTACACATTACATTGCTTAATTTTTTTATTTATTATTTTATTTTGGTGATAGACCAGCTAGGTGTGATATGATCAACTGATTATCCATTTGTATTGGAAGTGGTTTTTAAAAGTTCAAAATTGTTTGTTGGTTTCTCATCCTCAAGCTTTAACTAGTGATTTTATTGAATGAAAATCATCATGATGAAAAGTAATTGAAACACTAGATTCTCGTAAAAAGAGAAAAAGAAACTGTCAAATATTCAGTTTTATTGTCTTTGTTGATAGAAAATCAATTCAAAAAACTATTCCAAAATATGATGTTGAGTTAATTCTTAAATCAATGAAAGCTTGCTGCCTATCTGGTGTAGTATAAACTTGCTTTAGGCTTTCCTGTTTTTCTTCACATCTTGTGAAAATATGTATTCCATCTGATCTCTACTATTTGAATGCTTTATTGATAGACTGGTAGTACTAATGTATTATAAATGTTTCAGTGATTCAAGTCAAAGAAGTGTCTTTACATGTGTAGCAACAGCATATTAGTCTTTCCTATTCGTGTACACAAACTTCATAATCATTCTTTATTTTATTCAGTTTGTGGTAATTTATATTTTTCCTCCCTTTGTCTTGAATCTCTTTATTTATCAAAAAAATAAAAAATTGTGTCCATACTTCCTTTCAATTTTGATTCAGGTAATCAAGATTGTGTTCTGCTCAAGAAGGACATCTATATCTCGTCAAAAATAAATGATGGTTGATCCAAAGGGTAGTTCTTCATGGTTAAAAAGTCTATGTACCAGCAACATATTTATTTGGAAAGATCATGGAGAATATGGAGCTGTGGCTGCTATAGTTATAGGCATCCTTGTTCCTGTCTTGTTTTCGGTTTTGTTCTTGGGAAAGAAAAGAGGAAAAGTAAGAGGTGTTCCAGTAGAAGTTGGTGGCGAGCCAGGTTATGCCATACGTAATGCTCGAAAAACTGAGTTGGTTGAGGTTCCTTGGAAAGGAGCCCCGACCATGGCTCATCTATTTCAGCATTCCTGTAATAAATATGCTCATAATAAATTTCTTGGAACAAGAAAGCTAATAGGAAGGGAGTTTGTTACATCTAGTGATGGCAAGAGGTTTGAGAAACTCCACTTGGGAGACTATGAATGGGAATCCTATAGAGAGGTTTTTGCTCGTGTGTCCAACTTTGCATCTGGTCTTCTTAAGTTAGGCCATGATATAGATAGCCATGTTGCCATTTTCTCTGACACCCGGGCAGAGTGGCTCATTGCTCTTCAGGTAAATTTGCTTTATCAGCTTGATTCCTCAGGTCATTCCATTACCCTTGGGCTTAATGGTTCTTCATTCACAAATTTTAATGAAATATTTGCTAAACTTCAGGGTTGCTTCCGACAAAATATAACAGTTGTAACAATTTATGCTTCTCTAGGTGAGGATGCCCTGATCCACTCGCTAAACGAGGTAGGAAAATTATCCTCTCTTGCATAATTATAAAGAATGTAAAATCACATTAAAATAGTAAATGATAAACAAAATATACTTTATAGTTTATAGTAACTCAAATAGGCATGGCATGTCCTCACTTGAAGCTTTGGAATTTCAACAGACCCAAGTATCTACTCTGATCTGTGACTCCAAGCAGTTGAAGAAGTTGGATGCAATAAGATCAAGTCTAACATCTATCCAAAATGTAATTTACTTTGAAGATGATAGCAAAGAAGATGCTTTCTCAGGAAGTTTGAGCAACTGGACAATTGCATCTTTTAGTGAAGTTGAGAAACTTGGGAAAGAAAGTCCGGTCGAACCAAGCCTGCCTTCCAAGAATTCTGTTGCAGTTGTCATGTACACAAGTGGCAGTACAGGTCTTCCAAAGGTTTGTTTCTTCTTCAAATCTTGTTACAGGTGTCCCTTTGTGTGTCTGTGCCATATTTGTGATTTGCTGCATGTTTACGAAATGTTTTGTCCAGAATAATGGTTGTCAAATGTCTCAATAACCTGATGCCTATTAACGAATGTAGTTCAGAAACATTAGTACTCACTTGGGTCTTGGTATGAATTTATTATCAACGCATTTTTAGATGGTAAAATATGCACAAAAACTTTTTAGGTCATTGTGTACATATGGTGGAATTTTCTTGTCTGCTAACATTGAGAGCTGAGAGTATCTCTATTAACTCAGTTATGTGTTTCCCTTTAATTTGATTAGGTGTTAACTTTTTTTAATCATTTTAGGGTGTCATGATTACTCATGGGAATATTGTAGCCACTACAGCAGCTGTTATGACTGTGATTCCAAATTTAGGCAGCAAGGATGTGTACATTGCGTACTTGCCCCTTGCTCATGTTTTTGAAATGGCAGCAGAGGTAACTTCTTCTTAACGTTCTAACTGTCAACTAGTTGATACTATTATCTCTAAGTTTCTGGGGTTGTCCAGTCTGTTATGCTGGCTGCAGGTGTTGCAATTGGTTTCAGCTCTCCTCTGACTTTGACTGACACATCTAATAAAATCAAGAAAGGAACCAAGGGAGATGTTAGCGTGTTAAAGCCCACCCTTATGACAGCGGTCCCAGCTATTCTTGATCGTATACGAGATGGAGTTGTAAAAAAGGTGTGAATCAAACTAATGCTATTTACTCTCTCCTCTCTCTCTCTCTCTCTCTCTATATATATATATATATATATATATATATATATATAATAAATTAAAAAAGTGGGACAAGTAACTCCAAAATGCTGCAAGGCTTTGCAAATTGATTAACTCGACTTTAGCTCATGGGTGTTTTGTCATTTGTGGTCAAGTGCCATCGCTAATCTTGTTTAGTCTACATTGAGCAAAGAGGAAGAACATATTCATCTGGTGCAACTGGGTTGAATTGTTGTCCAGCCATTTGAATCAGTGGTTTAGCTACACCAAATTAATGTGCTCTTCTGCTCTTCCCTTCTTTCTCAACTTATAAGACTAAACAAGGATAGAAATGGAATTTGACCACAGAACACCCATGAGCTAGTGGCTCAATTAGTGAATCTGTTGGGCTTTACAAAATTTGGAATTTAATTGTAGTTTTTTTAATTATAAATATAGAAGAGTTTTGGTTATGTTCTCATAATAGAGGATGTCTGTATAGGGAAGGGGAGAGTAACAACAACAACATAGCCTTATCCCACTAGGTGAGGCTAGCTACATGGATCAAACAATGCTATTGGCTCTGTGAAAACCGAGTTTTCAATAAATCCATTTATAGTAAACTTTTTTCTAATGGTTTTCTCCCAAGTTTTCTTTGATCTTCCTCTAGCCCTTTTAATTAACCGACCTTCCATTTGATCCACTTTTTGTATTGTGGCCACTGTTGGTCTTCTCCTCACATGAGCAAACCACCTTTAACTAGTTTCTGTTATCTTTTCCTCAATATGGCTTGTACTACTTCAACTCTTCATGTATATGTTCGTTGATAATCTTATGTTTTCTTACAAATCTACTCATCCACATCTACATTCTCTCTTAACTACACTTTGTTTTTACTTTTTACTCTTACTGGAACTTTACTGTTCAGAATTTACTACCATAGTGCATTGCTGGTCTTATAGATATCTGGTAGAATTTTCCATTGAGTTTGGTGGGCACTTCATGATCACAAATTGCAGAAACCTTCATTTTTTTCAACTTTTCCCTGATATTCAATGCTTTAAACAAGTCATTGAATAGTTATATCTCTTACTTACTCTTTTCTATGTTGTACTTAGGTTGAGGAAAAAGGGGGGCTTGTGAAGAATCTTTTCCAGATTGCATACAAGCGCCGACTGGCTGCTGTAAAGGGAAGCTGGCTAGGAGCTTGGGGATTGGAGAAGTTGGTGTGGGATACCATTGTCTTTAAAAAAATTCGCTCTTCACTAGGAGGCCACATCCGGTTTATGCTTTGTGGCGGAGCCCCTTTATCTGGAGATTCACAGCAATTTATCAATATCTGCATAGGGTAACGATTCTCATCTTGATACTACATTTTATGTGGTTGGAACTAACTTGTCATCTGTACGTATGTGCATACATATGTGTTTCAGTGTTTGTTCACATAACATGTATGTTTTGGGGGTTATGGATCTAGGTTGATGAAGCTTTGTATAATGTATATATTACTGATTTATTTCAGTGTGAAAATCTAATAGCAAATGTAAGATAGTATATATCATATTCAATGGGTTCATGTTGTTAGAACTTAGAATATTTAAAAAACATCTTAGATTATCGTAAGCGTATCAGATTTTTTAGAACATCTTTGGAATGTCTCAAAAGATCCTTAGAATATAATTGTGAAATCAATCAGTTATCTAATTGAGGACACAATCTTAGGCATTGTTTCCTAATCTTATTATGTTTCCTTATTTAATTAGTATTATTTAGTATTTAAACTAGTTTCTATCCTTGTATGAGTTTGCTAGTAAGCCCCCATCTAGGCCAAAAATTACTAAGGTGTATTGGCGGAATGTAGAGAATCAGATCCACAGGAGTCATGATGAGAATCTGAGAGGGCAGGAAAGTATTCGGCTAGTTAGTGGAAGGGATTAATAACCTCCTGTTCCCGTGGCAGAGACTGTGGGAGGGCAGGAAAGGATTTGGTTAGTTAGTGAAGGATAAAATGAGAAGAGAGAAATAGATTGGACAGGGTGGGAGAGAACCTGACCTCTTGAATTGCTTCTTCTTCTTCCTTTTTTTCTTTTTCTGTTGTGTAGAGAGAGAGAGAGAGAGAGAGAGAGAGACAGAGTGAGGAAGAGTTTCTACTATATATATATATACAAACCTACTATTTTTGATATCACACTGATATTAGTAGAAGAATTTCAGTAATAACCAGTATTCTTCAGCTATTTCTTGTCCTGATCTATCAACTGGTATTTGAGCTCCCCATCCCTGGAGCTATGAATGGTGAATACATGCATGGAGGTCAGGTTGGAAGATGACATTGAAATGGGGTTTAAACAATGAAGAAAGGATGCATAGGAGGAGCAGGAATGTCAAGAAGCTAGGATGAAAAGGAATGAGGGGATCTAAGAGGCTAGGATGAAGAGGACTAAGGAGGTCCAGGAGGATTTACTGTGCCTCATTCGACATGTCGGGTGGGAATAACCATGGACATATGAGAGAGCTGAAGCATGTAGAGGAGAAAGCCATGCAATCAAGATTGTCAAAATCGCATGGTGGATTGTAGAATTATACAGCGGTACAATCTTTGCACACTGCTCCGATCCTGACCACACTCAGTAATTTGTTTTTGTGAGAATGCATAGGATCGACTTGCTGGATTGTGAAATCAGTGGGATCACTGTGCTGGCTGAGTTGCCCATTTCTGAAACTTAAACCCAAGAGCCTATCTGAAACTTAAAGAACCAAGCCCTTCCCTAAAGCTCAGAGCTTTGATTGTGGACTGTGGGTGCTCAACTTCGAGCTTCGAGTGGGTGCTTTCAATTGAGAGGCTTGCTGTTTGATATGTGGGTGACAGTTGAGAGGCTGGTGGCTTGCCCGTGGGTGAGCGTTGTGCTTCTCTCCCTCTTCTTCCGAGCTTCTCTCCTTGGATGTGCTAGTTTTTAGTTTACTCAGATGGTGTTCATTTCGCAACTGGAAATGAAGTGGTATCCTAGTATGTCCTGACTGGTGAGCATGCAGGGGGCGTGTGACTGTGTTTGTGGTTGGGTTTCTGTTGATCTTTTGCATGGTGTTTGATGGCTGTTTAGAAGTTGGATGATCCTACGCGTGTGTAGTGTGGCATTGATGCAGGAGATTAGCTGTGCTATCTCGTCAAAAACATGTTTTTAATATTGAGTTGTCAGAGACTCACTTTGTGCATTTGAGACTCATTCTTCACCTATTGCTGCTGCAGTTCAATTGGAGTTGTGATGGCACCAAGGGAATACAGAAATAAAACTGACAATATATTGATAATGAAGAACAAGCCGTTCTTACAAACACCAATGCTAACAACAATTCAAATGAAACAGTACTCAAATGAAAATCACCATAGACTCCTTGAGACACTTTAATGAAGAACAATTACAAGAAATTAAAGTATTCAGCTGTAAGATAAAATGACTTCCCTTAATGAGGAAAAGAACCCCAGTCCTCATCAAGCTACCCTCCACTCCAATTTTGCTTACTGTCTAACTAACTCCCCTCTTTCTTCCTTTTCCTATTTAACCACTGATACCGTTTTCCACCTCTCCTACCACTGAGTTATCTCCATTCAATGCATTCCACGTGTCCTCTTTTATAACAAACTCCCTTGCCATGCTTTTCTTCTCAACGGCCAGCACTACTTGTTTCACCATGCCTTGACCCATTCCAGAAGATGCAATGGGCTGATTACCTTCAGAGGCTGCAATGGGCTGACTAATTTGGGCTTTCTGTTTTTTCTTCTTTCTTCTACGCTTATAAACCCATTTTAGGGGTCCAACAACACCTCCCCCTCCAACATTCACCTTGTCCTCAAGGTGAAAATTTGGGAATAACTCTTGCATTTCCTCCATGTCTTCCAATGACCACTCATAATCTGGCAGGTTGGCCCATTCAACCAACAATTCAATCTTCCCATTAAGAAGTTTCCGAGCATCTCTGACTGCAGAAGGTTGAACTCTCAACTAAATTGGGAAGAGGAAACACTAGCACATCCTATGAAGTACCGACACTTTAAAAATCCTGATGTGTCGTGTCCGACACTCTCGGACACTCCGACACTCTCCGACACTTCAACACGCGTTATAGAAATTCAAAAAAAGGTTCAAAGGTTGCGTTGCGTTAAGTTTTTAGTTCCAACTATTAGATTCATTAGATTACGATTATCATTTTATTGAATTTAATATAAATATTTGGGATATCTTATGTTTCTTTGCAAAATCTATGAATATTATAAGTTTAGATTTTTTTTGTTAAATTATTGAATATTAAATATAATATACACTACATAAATTAAAAATATTATTTAATATCAAAACGTGTCCTAACGTGTCTAAATCTAACATTTTTTAGAATTAACGTGTTGGAGTGTCGTGTCGTATCGTGTCACGTGTCCCATGTCGGTATCGGTGCTACATAGGGCACATCTGAACTAGCAGCCTTCTTCAATTGAGAAACATGAAAGACCGAGTGTATACGTGCATAATTAGGGAGTTTCAGTCTATAAGCAGCTGGTCCAATATTTTCAACAATTTCAAAGGGTTCATAGAATCTTGGACTAAGTTTCTGATTGAGATGTTTAGCTAATGACCTCAACTTGTAAGGCTGGTTTTTCAAATGTACCTTATCACCAGTCGTATATGTCACTTCCCGTCTACCTTTATCCGCTTGCAACTTCATTCGCTCTTGAGCTCTACACAGGTTCTGCTTCAGCTCCAGCAATACTGCATCTCTAGCCTCCACCCACTGGTCAACGGCTGCCACTGAAACTGGCTGTTTCTCAAATTGAATAATGGAAGGAGGATCTCTTCCATATAAAGCTTTGGAGGGTGTCATCTTTGTGGACCTGTTATAAGAACTATTAAACCAAAATTCAGCCCAAGGAATCCATTTTGCCCAACTCCTAGGATAACCACTAGCAAAGCATCTCAGATAAGTCTCCAAAGTGCGGTTCACCACCTCCGTTTGCCCATCTGTTTAGGGATGGTAGGCTGAACTAAATTTAAGATGAGTACCCACAGGCCGCAGCTTTAAATAGTGCTCCCCAAAATTTACTAAGAAATAACCTGTCCCTATCCGATACTATGGATTTAGGGAATCCATGTAATCTGATTATTACACTTACAAACAGATCAGCGATCAGCCACCTCTTCAGCGGTAAATGGATGTGTGAGTGTAATGAAATGGGCATACTTGGTTAAACGATCTATTACCACCAAAATATTATCCACTCCTTTGGACTTAGGCAACCCAGCTATGAAGTCCATAGATAAGTCTTCCTAGACCTGTTCTGGAATAGGTAAGGGATTCAGTAAACCAGCCGGCAATAAATTTTGATACGTTTGCTGTTGGCACACTCCACAATTTTGTACAAACCTTATAATATCACCACGCATCCCTTTCCAATACTGTAAGGCAGAAACACACTTGTATGTTCGAATTTCTCCAGATTGTCCCCCCCTCCCAAGGAGACGAGTGAAACTCCTCAAGAATAGTAGGAATGAAAGTAGAAGTGCGAGGGAGTACCAACCTGTCTTTGTACCACAAACATCCCTTAGCTACATGATAGCCCGGATGAGAAGAGCTGTTATTCATGACTTCAGTCATCGTTTTCCTAATTCCAGCATCCTCCAAAGCCTCTTCTGATAACCTCTGCAGAACTGAACTCACCGGTGTTGACAACGCTTTACATTCCATCATTCGGGACAATGCATCCGCAGCCTTGTTCTCTAAACCTGGTTTATACTGGATCTCGAAATCAAATCCCATAAGTTTTGCCACCCATTTTTGTTGTCCATCTATCAGCACCCTCTGTTCAGTGAGGTATTTTAAGCTTCTTTGATCAGTCCTTACAATGAAATGACGACCCAACAAATAATGCCGCCACTTTTGTATTGAAAAGACAATAGCCTTAAGTTCCTTTTCATATACAGACAACACCTTATCCTTTCAGAAAATGCCTGACTAAAATAGGCAATTGGTCGACCATGTTGCATCAGTACCGCTCCCATTCCCACTCCCGAAGCATCGGTTTCCACTACGAACACCTCATCAAAATTTGGTAAAGCCAACTCTGGCAAAGACATCATCACTGCCTTTAATTCATCAAAAGCCCTTTGAGTAGCCTTATCCCACGCAAATCTGTCCTTCTTTAACAGCCTAGTCAGGGTGCTAGCTAGGTGACCGTAGTTTTTCACGAAACGCCGATAATACCCGGTAAGACCCAAAAATCCCCTTAACCCCTTTAAATTCATTGAAACCGGCCAATTTTGGATAGCTGCTACCTTAGAAGAGTCAGCCTTTACCCCCGTC